CTAGTGGTTCCTAGAATTTCTAAAAGTAGAATGGGAGGCAGATCTTTTAGTTCTCAGGCTCCTCTCCTGTGGAACCAACTACCAGTTTTAGTCCGTGAGGCAGACACCCTGTCTACTTTTAAGGCTAGGCTTAAAACTTTCCTTTTTGATAAAGCTTCTAGTTAGAGTGGCTCAGGTTATCCTGATCTATCTCTATAGTTCTGCTGCTATAGGCTTAGACTGCTGGAGGACATAGGGACCCCTTTTTCATCATTCTGCTTCATTCCCTGCTGCTCTCCAGCTCTGAGTTTAAATAAACATATTTAATTCAATCCTAATGGATCTGAAGATGTTCTCTCTTTGGAAATATTGGAGTCAGGTGGAACAAGACACACAGGCTTAAAGGTTCAGACAGTCAATGAATGAATGAATGGATGGATGGATGGATGGATGGATGGATGGATGGATGATGGATGGATGGATGGATGGATGGATGGATGGATGGATGGATGGATGGATGGATGATGGATGGATGGATGGATGGATGGATGGATGGATGATGGATGGATGGATGGATGGATGGATGGATGGATGGATGGATGGATGATGGATGGATGGATGATGGATGGATGGATGGATGAATGGATGATGGATGGATGGATGGATGGATGGATGGATGATGGATGGATGGATGATGGATGGATGGATGATGGATGGATGGATGATGGATGGATGGATGATGGATGATGGATGGATGGATGATGGATGATGGATGGATGGATGATGGATGGATGGATGATGGATGGATGGATGATGGATGGATGGATGATGGATGATGGATGATGGATGGATGGATGGATGATGGATGGATGGATGATGGATGATGGATGGATGGATGATGGATGGATGGATGGATGGATGATGGATGGATGGATGATGGATGGATGGATGGATGATGGATGGATGGATGATGGATGGATGGATGGATGATGGATGGATGGATGATGGATGGATGGATGGATGGATGATGGATGGATGGATGATGGATGGATGGATGGATGATGGATGGATGGATGATGGATGGATGGATGATGGATGGATGGATGATGGATGATGGATGGATGGATGATGGATGGATGGATGGATGATGGATGGATGGATGATGGATGGATGGATGATGGATGATGGATGATGGATGGATGGATGGATGATGGATGGATGGATGATGGATGATGGATGGATGGATGATGGATGGATGGATGATGGATGGATGGATGATGGATGGATGATGGATGATGGATGGATGGATGGATGGATGGATGATGGATGGATGGATGGATGGATGGATGGATGGATGGATGGATGATGGATGGATGGATGGATGATGGATGGATGGATGATGGATGATGGATGGATGGATGGATGATGGATGGATGGATGATGGATGATGGATGGATGGATGGATGGATGGATGGATGGATGATGGATGATGGATGATGGATGGATGGATGGATGGATGGATGATGGATGATGGATGGATGGATGATGGATGATGGATGGATGGATGGATGATGGATGGATGGATGATGGATGATGGATGGATGGATGGATGATGGATGGATGGATGATGGATGGATGGATGATGGATGATGGATGGATGGATGGATGGATGGATGATGGATGATGGATGGATGGATGATGGATGGATGGATGGATGGATGATGGATGGATGGATGGATGATGGATGATGGATGATGGATGGATGATGGATGGATGGATGGATGGATGGATGATGGATGGATGATGGATGGATGGATGGATGGATGGATGGATGGATGGATGGATGGATGATGGATGGATGGATGGATGGATGATGGATGGATGGATGGATGGATGATGGATGGATGGATGGATGATGGATGGATGATGGATGATGGATGGATGGATGGATGATGGATGATGGATGGATGGATGGATGGATGGATGGATGGATGGATGGATGGATGGATGGATGGATGATGGTTGGATGATGGATGGATGATGGATGGATGGATGGATGGATGGATGGATGATGGATGGATGGATGGATGGATGGATGATGGATGGATGGATGGATGGATGGATGGATGGATGATGGATGGATGGATGATGGATGGATGGATGGATGGATGATGGATGGATGGATGATGGATGGATGATGGATGATGGATGGATGGATGGATGGATGGATGGATGGATGATGGATGGATGGATGGATGGATGGATGATGGATGGATGATGGATGGATGGATGGATGGATGATGGATGGATGATGGATGGATGATGGATGGATGGATGGATGGATGGATGATGGATGGATGATGGATGGATGGATGGATGATGGATGGATGGATGGATGGATGGATGGATGATGGATGGATGGATGGATGATGGATGATGGATGGATGATGGATGGATGGATGGATGATGGATGGATGATGGATGGATGATGGATGGATGGATGGATGGATGATGGATGGATGATGGATGGATGGATGGATGATGGATGGATGGATGGATGATGGATGATGGATGGATGGATGGAGTTCCATCCATCATGGTGAAAGCCATCAGATAGATGTAGCACCCAGCTAGCCGTTAGCCATGCTAGCATCAGGTGAGTGGGGGTGTGGCCACACCTGGCGTGTTGCTGCTGCTTCGTTCCTCACCTGTCCTCTTCTCCACCGGCTGCATGTTGCCATCTCTCCTCCTGCAGATTCAGCCTCCCTCCTGCGTCTCCGGATGCATCAGTGTAGAGAAAGAGAGCAGGTGAGGAGGCCCCAGGAGGCGTCCTTCTCCTGGTGCCTCCTCACCTGCAGCTCACCTGGATGTTCTTCATCCAGCAGAACAACTTTTTATCAGCTTCTTCCTCTGAAGCTAATCTCCACCTGATGGTCTGAACTTCCTCCTGCAGCAGCGGCTCTGGCGTTGTGGTGACCCTAGTCTAGGTTCAGCCTGGTTTAGACGCTGATGGTCTGCTTCCTGTCAGTTCATGCAGGAACCTCTGATCCTCCAAACCAACAATGGAGCCAGTAGATCAACCAGCATGTTCCAGCTGGGAGCACTGGTTTGGATGGGATGCATGCTGTCTGGGTTAGAGTGGTTCATAGGGGAGGATCAACCATCAGCTTCCCAATAGCAGAAGAAGAAGAAGAGATGTGAAGTCATATTTTCATATCTGCTCATATCTTCAGTTGTTAATTATTTTCTTCTTCTTTTGTTTAAATGGACCACTTCCTGTCTGTGAACCGACCACTTCCTGTCTGTGAAACGACCACTTCCTGTCTGTGAACCGACCACTTCCTGTCTGTGAACCGACCACTTCCTGTCTGTGAAACGACCACTTCCTGTCTGTGAAACGACCACTTCCTGTCTGTGAATGGACCCGGTGAGTACTCCTGCAACACCCGCCCCCTCTGCTGCTACATTGGTCATCAATAAATAATAATCTGATTCTTAATAATACAGTCATTACCAGATTATAAATAATCTGGTTATTAATCAGATTATAGATAATCTGGTTAATAATCAGATTATTTATAATCCGGTCATTAATAATCTGGTTATTAATTAGATTATAAATAATCTGGTTATTAATAATCTGGTTATTAATAATCTGGTTAATAATCAGATTATAAATATTCAGGTAATTAATAATCTGGTTATTAATCAGATTATTTATAATCTGGTTATTAATAATCTGGTTATTAATTAGATTATAAATAATCTGGTTATTAATAATCTGGTTAATAATCAGATTATTTATAATCTGGTTATTAATAATCTGGTTATTAATTAGATTATAAATAATCTGGTTATTAATCAGATTATTTATAATCTGGTCATTAATAATCTGGTTATTAATAATCTGGTTAATAATCAGATTATTTATAATCTGGTTATTAATAATCTGGTTATTAATTAGATTATAAATAATCTGGTTATTAATCAGATTATTTATAATCTGGTCATTAATAATCTGGTTATTAATAATCTGGTTAATAATCAGATTATTTATAATCTGGTTATTAATAATCTGGTTATTAATTAGATTATAAATAATCTGGTTATTAATCAGATTATTTATAATCTGGTCATTAATAATCTGGTTATTAATAATCTGGTTAATAATCAGATTATTTATAATCCGGTTATTAATAATCTGGTTATTAATTAGATTATAAATAATCTGGTTATTAATTAGATTATAAATAATCTGGTTATTAATAATCCGGTCATTAATAATCTGGTTATTAATTAGATTATAAATATTCTGGTTATTAATAATTCGGTCATTAATAATATGGTTATTAATCAGATTATTTATAATCTGGTCATTAATCAGATTATTTATAATCTGGTCATTAAAAATCTGGTTATTAATAATATGGTTAATAATCAGATTATAAATATTCAGGTAATTAATAATCTGGTTATTAATCAGATTATTTATAATCTGGTCATTATTAATCTGGTTATTAATAATTTGGTTAATAATCAGATTATTAATAATCTGGTTATTAATAATCCGGTTATTAATAATCTGGTCATTCATGCCTCCTCTGTTCTGAGCTCATCTCTTTACTGCTGATGAGTCCAGATTCAGGTTCATCCCCAAAATGAGAATTTGCAGAAAAATTTCAATCAAATAGAGAAATATAATTTTTTTTAACTCTTTCTAAGTGAAACCCATCTAGCATGTAGATCATCACACATAGAGTGAACTGTTAAAGCCTTTATCTAATCCCTCAGAACATCAGGAAACTCTAATCTTATCAGCAGGTTGTTTTCTCTGAGCGTCTCTGGGAGCGCCGCCTCACTGAAAGGAAGCAGCTTTTCCTTCCACTAAACTTTCCTGGTTGTCTCTCTCCAGAACAACCAGCTCCTGTCTCCCAGTGACCCAGACTGAGGCGGAAGGAGCAGGATTTGACCGGAAGTAAAGCTTTAATCTGAGATGAGGGACAAAAATATAAAACTTTTGTCTAATATTTATTGTTTAGAGCTGTACGGTCTTCAGCCTGGCGTGCGTCATGACGTCACAGTGTGTCGTAGTAGGTAATGACGTAAAAAGGAGAGTGCAGTCGGTGACCGGGCGGAAAGAGGGCGAGCGTCCTGCACGAGGACAGGTAAGCCTCCGCTTTGATGTAGAGCATGTGGTCCGGATCCAGGCCGGATCCGGACCGGAGGAGCTGAGCCGGTTCCGATCCATCAGACAGAACCTGCGGCTGCTGCACGGTCCCGATCCCGCTGCAGCTGGCTGCGCGTGTCCGTGTCCTGCTGCAGGACCCCACACGTGCGCGCGCGCACATCGGGACACTCCCGATCAGGAGCCGCGGGGTCGGTGCTCCTCCGCCGGGTCGGTGCTCCTCCTGGGACGGAACCGGTTCCGTTCATCAGTCCGTGCTCCGGTTCTGCTGCGGCTCGGAGCCTAGATGATGAGTCAGCAGATTCAGATGAAGAGCATCCGCATCTTCATCAGGTCCCCCTGAACAAAGCAGTGCTGCTGAGGATGAGGAGGAGGATGAGGAGGAGGATGATGATGATGATGATGATGATGATGATGATGATGATGATGATGATGAGGAGGAGGATGATGATGATGATGATGATGATGATGATGATGATGATGATGATGATGATGATGATGGGAGTTTCCTGCTGCTTTGCTTCATCTGGAGAATAAACTAAGATGAGAGGAACCTTCATTAAGACAGAAAATATTCTCATAGAATATAATAGAAATATTCAGAGATGTTGAGAACATGAGAGAACAGTTCCTGTTCTGGTCTGGTTTCTGTCCCCAGATCTTGGATCATAGAAGTTGTGGCCTGAATGAAGCCTTCTGGTTGGAGAAAAATAAATAGTTCTGCTGCTATAGGCTTAGACTGCTGGAGGACATAGGGACCCCTTTTTCATCATTCTGCTTCATTCTATCTCTATTCTCCCACTCTGCAGAATCTGTTAGTTCAATCTCTAACGTTCTGCTCTCTCTGCTTTTTCTCATAGTAGCTTCATCTGGTCTGTTCCTGTTTGGCTGTGACTCCATCCTGGAGAGAAATATCAGCTGTGCTGCTGCCATCAACACCTTTGTTTCTAGATGTTGGAGCTTGGCCTGTTTTCCAGTGTAGTCCTGTTTCTCTGACTGTGACTAACTGGATGTGCTCTCTTCATCCTCTGACATGGGAGCTGGCTCGGAGCTCGTCTGCCTGGCTGTGTGTTTCCTGGACGGGGCCGCCTGTGGAGCTGGTTGACAGTTGCCTTTTGTATCTATGCTTCTTTTTCTATGTCTGCTTCTGTCTCCTTGAACCCCAGTGGGCCTCAGCAGATGGCCGCTCACACTGAGCCTGGTTCTGCTGGAGGTTTCTTCCTGTTCAAAGGGAGTTTTTCCTCTCCACTGTCGCTACAAGCATGCTTAGTGTGAGGGATTGCTGAAGAGTCAATGAGTCGATGCAATCAGCTGGTTTTCCTTAGATAGAAAACTTTGAATCAATCTGACTGGATGATCTGGTGAACTGGAAAGTGACCTGAGATGACATGATGGGAATTGGAGCTATAGAAATAAACTGAATAGAATTGAATTTAATTCAATATTTAGCTAGCCTGGTGCTAGCTAAATATTCAGTTTGTTAAATAAATGTTTAATTTGGAGCTAAATAGTAAGAAATAAAAAAGTAAGATTTTTATAAATTAATGAATTACAGAGTGAAAAAAGGACTTAAAATAAACCCCTCAGAGCGCCCCCACCCTTAGAGCGCCCCCACCCTTAGAGCGCCCCCACCCTTAGAGCGCCCCCACCCTTGCATTGCCTCCACCCTTAGAGCGCCCCCACCCTTAGAGCGCCCCCACCCTTAGAGCGCCCCCACCCTTGCATTGCCTCCACCCTTAGAGCGCCCCCCACCCTTAGAGCGCCCCCACCCTTAGGGCACCCCCACCCTTAGAGCGCCCCCACCCCCACCCTTAGAGCGCCCCCACCCTTAGAGCGCCCCCACCCTTAGAGCGCCCCCACCCTTAGGGCACCCCACCCTTAGAGCGCCCCCACCCTTAGAGCGCCCCCACCCTTAGAGCGCCCCCACCCCCACCCTTAGGGCACCCCCACCCTTAGAGCGCCCCCACCCCCACCCTTAGAGCGCCCCCACCCTTAGAGCGCCCCCACCCTTAGAGCGCCCCCACCCTTAGGGCACCCCACCCTTAGATCGCCCCCACCCCCACCCTTAGAGCGCCCCCACCCCCACCCTTAGAGCGCCCCCACCCTTAGAGCGCCCCCACCCTTAGGGCACCCCACCCTTAGATCGCCCCCACCCTTAGAGCGCCCCCACCCTTAGGGCACCCCACCCTTAGAGCGCCCCCACCCTTGCATTGCCTCCACCCTTAGGGCGCCTCCACCCTTAGAGCGCCCCCACCCTTAGAGCGCCCCCACCCTTGCATTGCCTCCACCCTTAGAGCGCCCCCACCCTTAGAGCGCCCCCACCCTTAGGGCACCCCCACCCTTAGAGCGCCCCCACCCTTAGAGCGCCCCCACCCTTAGAGCGCCCCCACCCCCACCCTTAGAGCGCCCCCACCCTTAGAGCGCCCCCACCCTTAGAGCGCCCCCACCCTTAGGGCACCCCCACCCTTAGAGCGCCCCCACCCTTAGAGCGCCCCCACCCTTAGAGCGCCCCCACCCCCACCCTTAGAGCGCCCCCACCCTTAGAGCGCCCCCACGCTTAGGGCACCCCCACCCTTAGAGCGCCCCCACCCTTAGAGCGCCCCCACCCCCACCCTTAGAGCGCCCCCACCCTTAGAGCGCCCCCACCCTTAGAGCGCCCCCACCCTTAGGGCACCCCCACCCTTAGAGCGCCCCCACCCTTAGAGCGCCCCCACCCTTAGAGCGCCCCCACCCCCACCCTTAGAGCGCCCCCACCCTTAGAGCGCCCCCACCCTTAGAGCGCCCCCACGCTTAGGGCACCCCACCCTTAGATCGCCCCCACCCTTAAAGCCCCCCCACCCTTAGGGCGCCCCCACCAGGTTTAATCCCTCAGTGACAGCCTTGAGTTCTTCCTGCAGCTTCCAGACGTCCTTCATCCAGATGTTCTGCAGAACCTGGAGAACATTCAGTCATCTATAATACGTCTCTGTAGGATCAAGCCTCCTTTATTTTGAAATGCATTTTTACTTCCTGTTTGGCTCCTTTGGTCTTCAGAGGTTGACATGTTCCTCAGTCGTCCCTCAGAAATATCCTGGATATTCATTTCTGCTGGATGACAGAGGAATTAATCCTGGAGCGGATCGGCTTTGATTAGAAACAGGAAGCAAAGCTCCCAGATGGCCGCGTCTGTTTGAAGCAAGGCTTAGCGTCTTTCTCTGAGGCCAGAAGATCCCAACCATTGGGTTCATTACATCAGTTCTTCTTCTTCACTGTTTGCTTTGTTTCAGAACCAAATAAAAATGGAGCAGGGAGTAGCTAGGGGGCGCTGTTTGGAAAGATCAGCAGTCAAACATTAGGAGTAAAAATTATGGTTATTTAGCGCATTCTTTTTTCACTCATTTACTTTTACAAAAATCTTACTTTGTTGAATAAATATTTAGCTACAAATTAAATATTTATTTAACAAACTGAATATTTAGCTAGCACTAGGCTAGCTAAATAGTTAGCTAGTCTGGGTAATATTATTTCTATAGCTCCAATTCACATCATGTCATCTCAGGTCACTTTATAGATCCAGATCAACCAGATCATCCAGTCAGATTGATTCAAAGTTTTCTATCTAAGGAAAACCAGCTGATTGCATCGACTCATTGACTCTTCAGCAATCCCTCACACTAAGCATGCTTGTAGCGACAGTGGAGAGGAAAAACTCCCTTTGAACAGGAAGAAACCTCCAGCAGAACCAGGCTCAGTGTGAGCGGCCATCTGCTGAGGCCGACTGGGGTTCAAGGAGACAGAAGCAGACATAGAAAAAGAAGCATAGATACAAAAGGCAACTGTCAACCAGCTCCACAGGCGGCCCCGTCCAGGAAACACACAGCCAGGCAGACGAGCTCCGAGCCAGCTCCCATGTCAGAGGATGAACTGGATCTAACATCCAAGTTGAAGGCTTAGATGAAGACAAGGCCAGAGTAGGTGGGGACATGTCCACACCAGTCCTTCAGAAAGTTCCAGCTGTGGCAGAATGAACGTGGCCTTCATGCCCAGTGATGAGTGAATAAACCAACCAATGAGAGATGGTGGATGATCCTCCCACCACATCGTGTTAGTATTTGTTTTCTTGCTTTATATTATTTTACAGTTTATGTTTAAGTTGGTTATTTCTTTTAGACGGGTACTTTCTAATGGGCGAACACTTTGGTTAATGTCTGTCTGAATGGTTTATTTAGTTGCTCTTTTGTTTGCTGCTGATGCAAACCAGCTGCAGGAGGAGACCTGGAGCGTACCATTTGCTTTTTGAAAGACTGACGGGGGAGGCTTGTTTCAAGTTGTTTTTTATTAGATCATTTTGTGACTTAAATAATCACTTATTATTGTTTCTGCTAAATAAAAGTTAGTTTTGCTTTATTTGTTTCATAGAATGGTTCATTTTGTGTTTATTGGTTCTCTTGTTATGTTGTGTCTCCCTCTTGTGGTAGACTTGGGTTACTCCATCCCTTTTTAAGCAGCCGTTAGTTATTTGTTTGCAGGTCAGTTTTTTGTTTGAGTTGGTTCCTCAGTTGACCTCAGTTAAGTTGGGCCCAGATTCATGTTATTTATTATTTAAGTTATTCTGTTTTGCTTTCGCGCCTTTCTTAAAAGATTTTGACACGATTAAATGAAAGCACTTTTTCAAATGTTGAACACCTTTTGTCCTTATTTAATCAAACGGAACCAGATGCTGCTTTGCTTCGGCAGCTTTACAGCCTTTCATTCCGGAACCTTCCTCCCAGAATCTCCTCATCATCCTCCACCAAATCAGATTACATCAGATTGTCTCTGTCTGTAATCCCTCTCTCTGTGGTTGCCGTGGTAACTGTTCACCTGACAGCTGGAAGGGGTCAGCAGCTGGTAACCATGGTGCTAGGAGTGATGACACGGTGGTTAGAGAGGAGTGGATTTTCCTGGTGTTCTGCTTCGGTTCCGGTCCGGTTTCTGCTGTGGTTCTGATCATCGACTCGCAGTTTCAGATTCTGCTGCGCAGACGTTCCTCCATCAAACAACTAAACATCCTGTTTTTCTTTTAAACTCTGAAATCCCTACAGTTAAACTGTGACATCACTGTCTCACAGGTGAATCACCATGACAGCAGAGCCAGGTGAAGCCCCGCCCCTTGAGGCAGAGTCTTTCCCTGAAGCTGCCGCCCACTCCACGCCAAAACAGGTGACAACTCTCAAACACCTAATGACCTTTGAACTCTAGCAGCGGTGAATTGTGACATCATTTCCTGTGTCCTCAGGGAGGGGAGCTAGCTCGGAGCTCATTGGCTGAGGACTCGAGCAGTCACCTGTCTTCGAACAGTCGCATCGCTCGCTCTCCGGCCAGAAACGTGCTGAGCTTTAGGACCATGCAGACCAAGGTGACCCTGCTGGATGGGACGCTGTTCACCTGCGTGGTGGAGGTGAGACAAGAAAGGGGTGGAGCTTATAGAGAGAAGATGTTCAGTAGTGTCATGGCGACGGCACGCGGGCTTAGATTGGAGGGAACTGGACTCTCGTTTTGACCCCGATCCAGGAGTCTTTAGGCTCCTCTGAAGAGCAAAGTGTTTGGGTTTTGGACAGAGAGGGCAGATGTTTTGAAAGAGGAATAAAGAAGCCATCTTTGTGAAAAGAGAAAAGCCACCAAGGAGCAGAGGAGGAGGATTGAGGTTCCAGCCTCCAAGCCTGGAACTCATTCCAAAGAAGTTATATAAGCTGTTCCATTAAGATTCAAAGGACCAATCACAGAGCCCCGACACAATAAAAGGCTTCAACAATGCAGTAGAATAAAGGGGATCTGGTTAGCATCTGACCGCTGTAGCTAACGGATATGCTTCATGCTAGTGACGTTACGCTACATGATTGGCTGAATGTTGCCACATGACGTAAAACATAGTGGTTGCCCAGAAAACGATAATAACATCACGCAGCGTCTGTGTGCCGAGTCGGGAGCATCTGTAGCGTTAGCGTGTCTAATGACCAATAAAGTTTTACCTTATCGATGACAAAACTGAAAAAAATCTGTTTCTGGTGAACAAAGTAACTGTTAGACCGTGATATAAAGAGCTGGGTAGCGCTGTGGCTAGCTGTAGCTAACAGGATAGCCTATTTTAGCTCGCTTAGCTAGCCATATTAAGCTACACTGCTTTTGAATTTGTGTCAACAACAACCGTTTGTTTTCTACAAGTAGAATTTTATTTCTGTAAAATCTCCATGAAAGTCATTTTTAGATGTTCTATTCGTCCTCCTCTGCCCTCGGATCTTAATAAAAATAATAAAAATAAGCTGAGACTGTCATAAACGGGACCGATGGACCCAGTATTCAAGGTGAATCAGAGAATGGGACGATTCAAACCGTTTAATGACAGAAAATAAAACGCACGCTGCTGAGGATAATCGGACCGCAGCAGCTGCAGGGGGCGGGGCATAAACCATCGCTGGCACTCTGGATGTGAGACAAACACAGGTAAGTGACCACCATCACCTGACAGGAGAGGATTATCACTTACCTGGTTTCACAGTTCAGTCCATCCTCCTTTAAAGAGGCGCAGGAAGCCGATCCAGGTCAAGGGAAACCAGATCAAGCAGGAACAGTTCAGGAATCCAGGAGATCTCAGTTTGAGGTTCTGATCCAAGCAGGAACCGAGGGATCCAGGCTTCCAGGAATCCTCAGAGCGTTTAGGCAGGTTCAGATGCAGACGGGTCCAGAGGCGTGGCCAGACAGACACGCACAGATGAAGACAGGCAGGCTCAGTGGTAGAGAGGAACAGAGACAAGACGTGGTTCCAGGATAAATACCGAACTTTAAACTGGTCTTCACCTTGGAGCCAGGCTTACAGGCTTACAGGCGCAGTACAGTTTGTGCGAGTGGAGTTGCCATATGGTGACGTCATAAGAAGGGGCGGGGCCACAAGCAGATCTGATACCTACAGCGGGAGTGTGGACCTCCAGCAGGAGGACAGACCTCCATGCTGCTGAAATGCATCAGCGCTCCAACTAGAGTTTGCTCTGCTTGAGACGACGGAATATAGACTTCTAGATCGGTTGTAGTCTCCTAGATCGTTATAGACTTCTGGATTGGTTGTAGACTCCTGGATCAGTTGTAGACTCTGTATCAGTTGTAGACTTTGTATCAGTTGTGGACTCTGGATCAGTTGTAGACTCTGTATCAGTTGTAGACTTTGTATCAGTTGTGGACTCTGGATCAGTTGTAGACTCCTGGATCGGTTGTAGACTCCCGGCTCGGTTGTGGACTCCCGGATCGATTGTGGACTCCTGGATCGGTTGTAGACTTTGTATCTGTTAAAGTGAGAAGGATTTGTCCCCTTCAAAGTAAAGGCTGTAACGCCCCGGGGCCTCCTCACACGGTTCTTTTCCTGGGAGCAAGTTATTTACTACTCTTAACTCAAACTCGTTAAAACCATATAAAAAAGGACTATAAAAACAGGAGTAAAAAAGTAACAGAGTTTATTCTAGATCAGGTCGTTACAGGACAGAGAAAAATGCTTCGAGCTATGCACAGCTGTGGTCTCAAAAATCACGTCCGCAAGCGTCCGGCAAAGTTTGAGCCCCGATGAAGGTCATCACCTGCTTCTTATACCTTGTGAGTCTATGTGTTGCATCATGTGGATGCTTAGCTGTCCGTATCAGAAACTGACACGCCATCCATGTCTTGAACTCCATGCAGGTTGCCTCTCTGTCTCAGGGTTACAGATACAGCAGCTCTCCTATCAGACCGGCTCCAAGATGTGCCCATATCCTTTGTACTCTTAGAGACACAAAGGCTGTCTTGATTAGATGACCTCCGTACACACCGTGATATCCACAATGTGAAGGAAGGCCTTCTGCTCTGTCTAATCTGACAAACAAATTAACAGTGCACATGATGTATAAATAATAAACCCTAACAACTCCCCCTGATAAGTTACCGTTTTTACAGGTAACTTAAAAAACACAGGAAGCGGCACATCTTCGAAGGACCGGGTGACCCAGAGAGCATCTATAATTAGTCAAGTATCATTAATTAGGAATCAAAAGTAATCACAATCAAAGCTTCACAGACCAAATGTTCTCACTCAAGACCACAGTTTCAGCATTTAACTACAATTTGGGTGTCATCTAATTAAAGGAAAGCTGTTTTAGTTTCCTATGCGCACATTATTTTAAGTTACCTTAGAGTAGATAACCTAAGCCTATAAATCTAATAAGGCCAAATTCATCTACTCTCACTCCCACCGGGAGGCCTCCTAAATGTGACCGCTCCTCATGGATAAACCATCTATTCAACTTTACCAATCATTCAGTCACAGTAGGGGACGTCACAGGACAGGTTGGGCCGTTCTCCACCGGAAAACGCTACCCTCTCTAAAAGGTAGTAAAAACCGGGGTGACCCCGGGGAAATCCCACTCTCGGCCAATCTGAGCAAGTAAAACCCTGTTTTGAATCTGATAATTATCATTACCAACTACTTAAAGAACCTGTAAGGTTCAGAGTCTTCCTACATCAAAGAAAAAGTGGCATAAAACGTGATCTTGGTGGGTCTGGAGCAAAATGTCTCCATGATTTTCATCAAAACAAAATCAAAATAAATCAAAACATATACATCACAATTAGGTTAAATCAAGAATTATCCTGGTCCGAGTTAAAAACAAATGATGAATATCACTGATGATGATGGATTCTTTCAGTGTCTCTATCACTCATCAATCTAATTAATCAATCAGAGTCTCGTATGGCCTCCTCCACAGCTCCTTTGTTCGCCATGCAGTCCAATGGCGGATAGATGCTGAATCCATGTGGTGGTTCTCATGGACTGTTCTCATCACAGTTCATCAACCCTTTCCTCCGGGAACCCTTCGACACACAGAGAGTGCAGTCAGTGTTCTTATCACGATAAACAATGTCTTCAATGAGCAATTCCTTATTCACTCAAAATCTAAGTGCAGTCACAACCAGATATTCTTATCCACAATTACTTTCCCTTTATCCCTTAAATCACCATTAAACTGACTACATTTCAATTAATTATCCATGGACTCTGTGTTTTTTCAGCAGATTATTTCAGTGTCTATTCAAAAAACAAAAAATAAAAATAAATAAAAAAGAAATCCCCAAAAACATTAAACATTTAACATAACCTACCTTTCAATGCCTGGCAGTTGAAAGTTATTTATACCAGTATGTATTCAGCCTGAACATCCTATGGATGTTTCAGCTCATCATTTTTGTTCATATAAGCTCAAAATCACTGCAACTAATATAATCTAATTCAAGGAACCTGTAAATATTTAGAAAACATTCAACCCTTTTTTACACATTGTAACACTCAATTCATGGATTAAATAAATGAATTTTAAAACCATTTCTACATCATAGCATATTAAGTTTTAGTTTCGTCTAAACTTGTAACTGCATTTTAGTTTACTGCTACACCCTCCCCAGAAAATTATTAGAAGTTCTTTAATCTCTAAGGAAAAAACCCAGCTTGGCGCAGATTCCCCCTATTAAAAACTCCCCCATCAGACCTTGTATCCGTGAATGTTAGTGTATGAAAGAAAACCTCATTCCCATGTGGACCCTTGTGTGTTCTTCCAGTCGTTAACCGTGTGTGGGCGTGTTGTTACGTGACAGTATGTGTGTGTGTCTATGTGAGTGGATCTATACGTGGGAAACTGGTCAGGAGCCATCCCGCTACTGGTTTGGAAGAAAAAGTGTTTCTTGGAGCAGTGATCCTCTCCAACATGCAAAAAAGTTCGATGTTCGGACAAGTCCATCAGGTTTCCCTCTGTTACCACAGCAGCTTTGAACCATAAGAGTCTTGGGGCCATGTGTCCCCACACCCCCTGAAGGATAAGTCTTTACCTGAGTCATCAGCAGTATCACATAGAGGTAGAAGGAAACAGAGCGTCAGAGGTGTTCCTCCCTTCAAGAGGAAATGTCATATTGAAATGTTCATCTGCTCAGAGCACAGGATTGTACTCTGACTTGCTGCTGCGTTCCCAAAACTCAGCAGTACACAGTTCCTGAAGGTGTTGAATTCGACTGCACCCCCTCTATGCAAAGTGTCCAGCTATAGTCCATTTAAAATATTCTCCAAAAAGCAGTGCTCCGATGAGAAAAAACAAACAAAACAAAAACAAAGAACAAAGAACAAAATAAAAACAAGAAAAAAGAAAATCTGTTCCAACATCCCCAGAACCAGTCAATAGTTGTCATATCTGGACCCCTGACCAGATCCAAAAATGTGCAGGAAACATAATCTCCTCTTATATGTGTTATCTCAAATAAACTAAACACTAAAGTGTGCATCCCCTCTAAAGTATTAATTGCAGCTCTAGTGAAGTAAAGTCAGGTGTTCTTATTGCTTCATGCATTAAAAGTATGGTTACCCATCCCCCAAATTGTATATAGCCCCTCAAATGC